TTTCAAGAATATGGAGAGGAATAGGTTTGCGATGAGTGTAAAATGGAAAAATTTTATTAAAGTGTTGATCAGTATATATTGTTAAGCTATACCGAATAGAAGTTGACTTCATATTGAAAGGAACGAACATGTTTCTATCTTAGAGATCACAGTAAATGATTATGGGACGTTTCTTATTATTTATGTTTTACGATACTGTCTCTGTCTATTATATTTTATATATGATATTTTTCGAAAGGTTAGATCACTTCTGTTTTGGTGATGTTCATGTTGAATAATTGGTTTTTTTTCATAATATGATCCTCGTAGTTGACATAATTTTTGAATCATAGATAGCAATTGACAATTGTGACTGATATTTTGTCGATGCATAGTATTCGTAGTACACATTTGAATTAAGATCACCCTCGAAATGTCTATTAGTATTTTTATAAATCATTATGTTCTTCTGTAGCTTTGGCATGTAATGTCACGAGAAATAGTTTTTGTTTGGTTGGACTTCACTATTTTTGTTAGATTATATATCTACTTTTCTTGTTCTAGTAGAGTTCGTAAAATCTAAACACATCTGTTCGAATGTGTTTAGACATTGATGATGTGTATAACATATGACCTTAGCTGGGAATAAATGATTAATTCTTTCAACTTTTCCTACTGCATATAATATTTATAGTTTGTGTCATATTGAATAATATTAATTTATCATCGATCTTGTTGTATAGAAAAAAAGAACAAAAACTCTTGAGTTATAGGAGATTCGACACTTCAATGGATGATCAATAATAAATTTTTAATAGTTTTATATTGTATACATGGATCCATTTCTTATTTTTAGCATTGATAGATTCATTTACTTTGACTCGATAAATCTTGGCTAATGTCCATTTTAGAGATAAGTTGTCATGGATATTTTCTGAATACTTTTTCATAGGAACGAAATAGAGATTTGCGGTTTTCACTGTTGAAAAGAGGAGATGAAAACGCATCGAAGCCTATATAGAAAGATTTTTCTAACAACTTTTCTGAAGGCTTTACAGAAAACTTCAAGAGAAACAGCATACTTCTCATGATCGCAATATTAATTTATTGATTTTCAGGAGTGTGCTAGAACCGCCAAACAAAGAGCTACAAGACCATATCAAGATTCTATTCCATACTACTACGAGTAAGATATCCAAACCATGGGAGACATAGTTTCCCACCTCGGTTTTTCAAGAAAATAATCGAGAAATGTAAGTTTTTGTAGTATTTTGGTAGAAAAATCTCTTTTTTAATGTAGCAGAAAAAAGCAATTCTTTGAAAACGTTTGACTAAAAGCTCTAGAAAAGTAGTTAGAAAAATCTTTTTTTGTATATGGCTCGATGCGTCTTTATCTGCTTTTTCCAATGGTGAAAATCGCAGGTCTCTATCTCGTTCTTATGATAAGTTATTCTAAAAATGCCCATGGCCACTTATCTCTGAAATAGATATTAGTAGATCAATATGTACCAACATATTGATCGATGCTTTTTATTTCCAAATAAATATCAAAGAACATTAAGTTTCTCTCAATTATTGAATCTTTTAAAGAAAAGATATGAAAGTAAGTAACTTGCTGGTTTTCTATGAAAAATTGTCTATTGTTGACAATAAAGCAATTTATAAATCTGACACATGGAGATAATTCTTAAGATTTTTCAAGACTCTAAACGACTAAGAAAAATGGGTTTAATACGTCTAAACTCTAATGCATAATATTAAAAATTCGTGATTGAATAAAAATAAAGTTCTATATTATTAATATAACATTAAAAAATGACATGTTATAATATTCGAATATGGATTCTTGTTTATTTCAATTGATAAAATTAATTTTTTTTTTTAATTTTTAACTTAGAATTGCTGTTTAAAGATGGACGTGAAATAATGAAACATTTGTTTTCGATGATTTAAAATATTTTATAGAAATATTTAACATTTTAATTATGTTCTCAAAAATATTCATTATTATAAAAAATTGAAAACGTGACAAAATAAATAATGTTTTCAAAGAGTAAAATTTTTTCTCGTTGAAAATAAAATATTTCCATTTTGTTAGGTTATTTTAAATGACGTTAAAATGTTATAATGGTTTTCAAGTTTTCAGTGTAAAATAAGAGATAATTAATTTTTGAACTATTTCTTAAACTCTTTGAGAAAAATTTAAAGCGTTGCTACATTTTCTTATAACTTAATACAAAAATAATTTGTCAGTGCAACCTGCTCTATGAATGGCAAACGTTTGCAAATCACAAACACGGATTATTATAAAATTTGTCATAATAGTGAAAATAATTCACTTTAACCCCGGAATGCTCATCTAATATTCAAACAGACCTAAACTACTTTTATTTTAATGTTACTTGTATATATCATCATATTAAATCAAGCCTTTCTAGACATGCTCTAGTGAAGATTAGTAAGATATGTTGCTTATGGCATCTGTTCATTAGCTTTGATCGATGGCACAAAAAACTATGTCGAAATGCAAGCGAACGGGTTTTGAATACATGGGATTCGTGCGGACATCAGAAAATTTTTTTCTAATACTTTTGCTATTTTAGACAAGATCTTGTTCCTCCAACTATACTTTAAGGACATCTAGTAGAATACCTCGATAACGGCTATCAACCTCACTGATATTGTAAAGAAGAGCAGCAATAGTTTAAAAATGAAAAGTTTTCAAAATATATTGTATTTTGTTGCAAATTCCAGTTCTAATGAAGAAAGAAATCATGCTTAAATGAGCGAAGTATTGGGGTTAAATTTTTCCCTTGTTAATATGGAATTTTAGTGAAGTACCACGTGCGTAGAAAAGTTTCGTTCCTAAGAGATTGCCTTTTTACAAAGCAATCGTCCACTAGCGTTGTCAGAAAAAGTCGTACTCAAGGTGAGAGAGGTCTCAGTCCTCTGACGACGTCACTACAAACTGATGGAAACCGGTGGAGATCCAATCCTTGAAACTTTGCCGAGAATGATCGTAAGAAATTTTTCTCTGAGATACTATGTGTTGAAATTAGCAATATATATTATTAAGTGTTTCCTGTGTGCATTTTTCTATGCATAGAATATAATTCAAATTCTACTATCATTTGTAGAAAACATTAAAAAAGTTGAGATTCATATTAAAATGAACAATGGAAGAGTTGAATGAGGAGAAGGAGAATGCACAAAAAACTTCTGATTTGATTAAGATTAAAAGATATTATCATTTTTTTCGACTAGATTACTGTTATTTCTTTGCTATTTATAATGCAAGAAAAACTTTTCATTCAGAAGTATTTTACACGTTCAAAGAAACTTCATTTTATCTCCTTTTTGTTGCAGAAGAAAAACATTTTCATATGAATTGAAAAATCGTTTCTCAGCACTTTTGGCTTCGAAAACACTCACATTGATGACTATTGTGATATAAATCATGTTTCTCACCCAACCCCAATAAATTGAAATTTCCTTAAAATAAATAAATCGTTGAATATCGCTTATGCCCATACAAATGGAATTTTTTTCAATGCGAAAATTTTTATGGCTTGATGATTAATTTCATTAATCTCTTATCATTTCAATGGTGAAAACGAAACTGTCATTAGATGCCAACTGTGAAACTTTTTAAAAATATTTGTCGGCGAAGCCGATCATGTTCACGACTATTATCAAATAAACGAAGCTCTTCATGCTTAAAGACTTCATAGTCTGTCTTTCAAAGTAAACATCAGAGAATTTTTCCATCAACTATGATTTTTTTTTCTTGACATTATATTAAAAGAAAATGTAATTTATTTCGGTATTTTTGTTAAAAAAGTTTATAAATTTCCAGGATTTATTTGCTTTTCGATGTTTTCGACTAATAGCAATAAAAGCTTCTCATTACTGAGTCTATCACACTTCGGACATCCTTCAATTGACTCACTTACTGATGAACATTCTGCTAACACTTCTAGAACAGACTTAAGAACCATTTAAACCAGAATTTGACCCTTTGTAGGGCGAGGAGGAGGCTGGAGCGAAACATTCTATGTAGACTAAATTTCTCTCATCCATCATTGATTATGCCATTAGTAATTAAACTGAGAATTCTTTTATCTAGGTATTTTTAAAGATATAAGGCCTTCTCTGATTGTACACTAATCATTGCTTTCTGTTTGTTTTTAGTAAGTAGTGCCAGAAAATAAAAAAGAACCACCATACACTATCTTCTTATATTCGATCAGAAGGGTAACAAATATACAACACTTCATTCTTCAAATGATTAGTATTCTGATTAATAAAAATCAAAAATATATATCTTCGTAGATGAGGGATTTGTCAAATAGTACCACATCTAGCTCCCACGTAGATACATCACTACAATCGTCATTAAACCAAGGGGGAAACAGCGGACTTCAAGACTTCAAGACTTCAAGAGACTTCAACAGACTTCACTCGCTGTGACTTTATCTTTTCACAAGACTTCGAAAGACTTCTAAAGACTTCTGAAAACTTCATAGGACTTCAAATGACTTCGCAAGACTTCATAAGACTTCGTATGACTTCATGGGACTTCAAAAAACTTTGAAAGACTTCGTTAGACTTCACAGACTTCGTGAGACTTCAGGGACTTCATGGGACTTCACGGATTTCATGAGACTTCAGAGACTTTGAAGGACTTCTTGAGACTTTATAAGACTTCATCAGACTTCATAAGACTTCACAAGACTTTATAAAACTTCACAAGACTTCACAAGACTTCAGAAGACTTCATAGGACTTCAAGAGGCAGATTCCATGCGTATCAAAAAATCTTATACAAATTACATGAAACCTCTATAACATGCAAAAAAACAAAACTTATCAAATAGTAGGGGTGTCATTTACCGTTTACTTTATAATAAATATAAATTATTTATCATTTAATTTACGCGTAAATTAAATGGAAAGTAAATATAAATTGACACCCTTATTCATAACAGAGTAACTAGTGTCTTCCGAGAACCACGAACAGGAATGATATTGAAAATTGATTGCTCCCAAAATTCTGTTTTGTGGAATTCACGTATATTTTCGAAGAAAATAGTGAGCGTACGTTTTCAGTTCGAGGTTTGATGTCTCTCTCTCCCCCCACCCCATTATAGACACTTAGCAACGGAGAAAGAGAACATTACAGACATACCCCCTCCCCCGCCCCCCATTACAGCCCTTAGCAACGAGGATTAAATAATGGTGAAAATATTATTTTAGCTGCATTTAATCGTGCAAAAGAACTAGTTAGTAATTTGAATATATTACCTTCATTAAAGAAATGCAATGCTTGTGAACTTAATAGTTTAAGTAAAAATATATTTGATAGTATTAGATTCAACATTAATTCGGATACTTATTCGGCAACGGATGCAGATTCTTCATCAGATTCTGAATCTGATTATGATGATGAAACAATGGAAAGTAATGAGTTTAATAGTGATCTAATCAATGTGGATGAAGAAGATAAAGATGCGGCAACGACACAAAGTGTTGATGAAATTAAAACTGAGAAAATAAATTTTACTGGTATGCGTATATTTGATTCGATCAATCCAGCAATGAAAAACTCCTATTTTCAAGTGCAAATAAATAACAAGACTAAATTTATACACAAGCAAACGGCTTGTTGGTTATTAACTGACAAAGCTAGCCGTTTATCGGCTGATAGATTATCACGAGTGATAGAAACAAACAAAAAGGATTAAAATTCTTCATCAGATTGATTTGGATAGATAAAACATTTCTTATAAAAATAAAACACTTCATTCAAAAAGATTCAGTTATTAACTATTACGTTTACTAAGACCAAACAAGCTTGAATTTTTTCCAGCACATTGAAAAAAAACAATAAATAGTTCACCTTTCTGCTAAAATAAAATCGTCGAAAACAAGACAATTTCATTGGTTTCTTATGAGTTTTCATGCACTAAATGTATTTCAAAACTTTCAAAAGAATTCATGAGACTTCATTAGATTTCATGGGACTTCAAGAGACTTCAAGAGACTTCAAGTGACTTCAAGAGACTTCATGAGACTTCATGAGACTTCATGAGATTTCAAGAGACTTCAAAGACTTCAGAGACTTTATGAGACTTTATGATAATTCATAAGACTTCAAAAGACTTCAAGAGACTTCAGAAGACTTCAAAAGACTTACAAGACTTCATGAGACTTCACGGCTGAAGTCTCTGCTGGTTCCCCCTTGCATTAAACTAAAAAAAAGTTTCTTAGAATACCTGCCAATGTCTCGCATGTAGGACATACTCTCACATATCTATTTGTTCTTTTTCGGCTGGTGGTCTCTTCCAGAGCTTTATAGTTTCATTATATAAAATAGTAACAATATACTGTAGTGCATATTTTTTTATTAGACTAAACCCCGTATGTAGTCCAAGTAGTCAACAGGCGCTAGTCTGAAAGATGGGTACGTCACACTTAACATCATTCGTACATGAAAAAAATTGTTTAGATTGCCATACTAGTACTAATACGTCTATGATACATAGTATAGAAATTGGCAAAATATAATGTTACCCTTGTTTTATTCATCGAGCCAACAATCATCCATATTAGTCTTCTATACATATTCATTTCATCGTTCATTAACTTAATGCATACACACTTCATCCTTTTTCTTGCGGAATGTTGGCAAATACTACTGAGTTTTGTCTAAACTAGCAATTCATTTAGTTCATACTTTTCTAATGTCAATCCTTTTCTCTCTGTGCTAGATATAAAAAATCAACGATCGTCTGATTGATTAACATCTTCAATAAGACTCTTTCACTATATTACAAAAAGCACAAACTTATAACATTTATTCTAATTAGCATCTATCACCCATGGTGTAAATTTCTGCGAAAAAAACGCGTTCTGAAAACGCGTTTTTCAATAGCTGCGAAACGTGTTAATGCTGGCCGGTTTCACGCGTTTCACATCTGCTAAAACAAACGCTGTGTAACGATTGTTTTTGTGAAAAATTTCGCAGCGTTTCTCAAACTGTAGTGTTGTATATTCTAGATAGAAAAAAAACCTGAAAACCGTCAATGACTTCATAGATCTTGAATAGTAGGTGCAATTTATGTACCTGTTTACATTTTTTCATAGACCTTTAGAACTATAACTTACATGAATTTTGATGCAGTCAAGACACGGATTCGAACACGAGAACATAGGAGTATAAGACATGTATACCAGAGCCCGAATCGAACCGACTTTTTTTGATTCGAGTTCGGTTCGGTTCGTCTTCATTTTCTAAAACTTGGTTCGGGTTCGGTTCGGTTCGAATTCGTTTTTGTGTAACAAGTTCGAGTTCGGTTCGATTCGACTGTACTTTCAAAAAAGCGGTTTGAGTTCGGTTCGGATTGACTCGAACCGAACCGAACTGTCTTAGTTCGGTTCGAGTTCGGTTCGTTTTCGGGCTCTGTTACGCACCCACACCCGCACGCACACTCCGACACGCGCAGAGCCACAACCACACACCCACACCCCACTTCCACACACGCACAGCCACAGCCAGACACCCATTCCTACACCCACACCTGATGTTCACGCACACAGCCACAACCAGACACTCACACCCACACCTTTCACTTGGCAGATGCTCCGACAAGCATTTTAACTCGTGTACACAAACTTGCTGTGATGCACGCCCAAATACACCACTTATTATATTGATCGGGTGCCCTATACGCAAGGACCCAGATGCAGATGAAACATCGTATCCATACTGGAGACGGAGATCTGCATATTCTTTGTTAGATTTCGAAATCAGTTCGTCTTCATTTTCTAAAACTTGGTTCGGGTTCGGTTCGGTTCGAATTCGTTTTTGTGTAACAAGTTCGGGTTCGGTTCGGTTCGCCTTTTTTTTCTAAAAGCCGGTTCGGGTTCGGTTCGGTTCGGTTCGACTGTACTTTCAAAAAAGCGGTTTGAGTTCGGTTCGGATTGACTCGAACCGAACCGAACTGTCTTAGTTCGGTTCGAGTTCGGTTCGTTTTCGGGCTCTGATGTATACAAACCATTCAACTAAAATAATCTGATGATATAAGCGTTCATTCTACAGTCATTTAGAGTCTCGCGTAAACTTACTCAATTAGATTTTCAGTTTCCATTTCATTGAATTAAAAATTATCAATTCTTTGGTACCTATGTTCAATTACGAGTGTGGCCTTCTCTTAATACATTTTTTATTTAAACTCTTTTGGATTTACATTTAGATACCCAATAGAAACGAATTTAATCGATTTAAATTGTATTTAAAATTTTAAAAAATTAAATATCTTATAAATTTTAAAAAATTTAAAATTTAATCTTTTATTTATTTTCTTGATTTAATAGATTTTTGTAAATATAAATCCATCATCGTTTTATCCGATTACATCAATAAATGAGAGGAATTTTCTTTTGTAAGTCAAACCTCTTTTATTAAAAAGTCAATCTTACTTCAACAATGCACAAACTAAAATCATGTTTACTAGTATTGTGCACAATATCATTAGTCATTATCAATTAGTCTGAGTATGAACTCATACTAATAATTATTCAAATTATAAATAACTCGATAATTCTTTTGTTCACAAATAACCAAAGAGAGTTGCCATACTAATTATCTTAGTATTAGTCTTTACCAAATCTTTTCGAAATGCTCAATATTTGGAACGATTCTTAATTAAACCTTACGAAACACGTTTTCTTTCAATAAAAACGTCGTAAAATGAGTTTTTAAGTAAGAAGAATATATTTTTGTTACACTTTGGTGTTTTACATTAGTCTAACTTCGAATCAGGTCTAGATAACAGTCTAGCAACCTAAAAATTTAGAAGGCTTCGATTTTAGTCTTGCCTTCATAAAATCTGGGTCACGATTTTCACGTACAAAAATAGTGCAACGAGCAAAACTTTCAAGTACTATTTCATATCATTTCCAAAGTAATGTTAAAGAATTTACTTTGCTTAACTAATATGCTTTAAGTTGGTGAATTTCTGCAAGATTCTGTATGCAGAACGGATTCGCTTTGCATCATTCCAAGCAAAAACAATGCAACACGCGTTTGAAAAAGAAACGCGTTTCACGTTTTCCCCAATTTGTATCTGTGAAACGCGTCATCTGTCGATCAAAGTGCGTTCGACACCATTTTAATTCGGAAACGCCTTGAAACGCACTCTCGAAAAAAACGTTTCGTATCGTTTCAAAAAACGACGGTGGCAAAACGCATTTTCTGTAAGTAAGAATATTGCGAAACGCCTCCCGTATTGAAAAAACGTTGTGAAACGCATGCTACAATCTCGGAAACGCGTTAAGCAGTCCGTTTCCTTCATTATTTTACTCCATGGGCAAGCCTCAAAGAATTTATATTAATTCGACGGTTTTTCTTATTTGTAGAGAGTATATCGGATCATTACCAGCTGCAGCCAGTCATGCACTGCTTCCACGCACCTGTTTACTAGAACTTATGAAGGGTGGAGATGAAAGTCACAAAAATCTTGATTTGATACTCATATCCACTATTTTCTTCGAAAATATGTGAGTTCGGCAAAAATTAAAAGAAACAATCATTTTTTTGGTTTAATTGAATATAAAAATTAAGACAAACTAGAAGAAATTCTTTCTTTTTAAAATCAATATTCAAAATTCTTTTCAAACTAATTTGTATCTATATGAAATTAAAAAATAAATTAATAATTGAGAATAAACTTCGTAAATGAAAAGCCAAATTAATTTTTTCTATCAGAAAACAATTCAATTCAATAAATTTATCGGATTTCTATGCTCAATATCTTAAGGTTAATAAATACTGTTTTCTTTTTTTTTTGAGTTTTATCGAAATTATTTGACAATTTATATGAAGAAAATAAATTTCCATTTTACGAATCATTCATATCCTTATATTAAAGAAAAATAGAATAATAAATTACTCATCATTTAGTGATCTTCTTTTTAAAATTCTATAATATAAATAATTATTTTTACATGTTATCATTATTTATTTTAATACGATTTAAGTGAGAAAGAAAGAAGGAAATCTATGAAAGATCTTTTGTCGAACTTATGAAAGATTTCTTTGAGAAATATTAAAGATAATCATTTATGAATAATTAATAAAATATGAATATAAGAAAGAATCTTTTCTTTTTTTTCTCATCAAAATTATCTTACTATTTAACAATAAATATTTATTTGAGAATTGGACAAAATACTCGTACTCGAGAACGTTGGTATTTGTTCATGTATTACTCGGATATCAAACACTGAAAAAGTGGAAAGCTGGATAGAATTATATTCCATTCTAAAATATCTCAGTGCTTTGTTTTTGATGAAATCAATTGAGTATTGATTTCTAAAATGAGTACAACGACACGTCATTATTTGACAACGTCTCTTAACCAACTATTTAAGTCCTATTCACATCTTCTAGAAGAATGGGCAAGTTTTTCTTATTGATCACAATAGAAATCTACGAGTTTGACTCGAATAATTGATGAAGAGGCATTGCAAGATAAATTTTTGCAATATTTTTAAGCGTCCCTATTGGACTGATTTCAAATACAAATAAATGCGGAAACTTCGGATTTAAATCCGAGAGTTATGTGTACTTCAAAAAGTGAATCAGACGAATCAGCCATCCTAGAATGTGTGGACATCAAAATTATACTGGGGAACCCACCCTCTAAACTGTTGATTTCTATTGGGTATTGCCAAACCAATA